GCTCTATCATGGATCGCCACTTCGCATCAGAGAAACAGTGCACGGGTGGTTGTACGAGAGTCTGGGCAGATTGTTGAGTGAGTCGGACCCTCCAATAAGCCCTAAACCCGAAACCCTTTAACCCTTCTATCAAGCCTTTCTTGCAAGCCCTCTTAAGCGCTTCTATAAACCAGTCAAAACCTTTAAATAAACCCTTCTACAATGCGTCGACCCAGGTGCTTTTCCTCAAGTGCTGCCGGAAGTCGGAGACAGCAAACCCGCCTCCATCAACATGCTTTCCCACATTTCTCTGCATGTACTGGCCGGACTCAGAGACTGGACCAAGATGCTGCCCCCCAAGTACTGGCGATATTCCACAGCAGCAAACATGCTTCCCGCAAATACAGGCGGGATTCTCAGACACGACCGACATGTTGCCCGCAAGTACTGGCTGGATTCAGGAGCATGGCCAAAACTCGTCCCTCTATATTGGCAGAATTCAGAGACAACTCGCCCCCCCAATGTACTGGCCAACGCATTGAAATTTACAATGGATCGCGCTGACCGGAGGATGCGGACACGCCGGGTCCACCAAGAGGTTGCCAAATCTGACGACACTTTCATCTATGTATGCATGTACGTATGCACGCAGTATGTAATTTATTTTATGTATGTATGTATGTATGTATGTATGTATGGCGTGACTGCATCCTGCCGAGCCCACCGAGAGGAGCCCACCGAGAGGTCGAAAAGTCTGAAGACGCGCCGAAACCGCACCAAACGTGCAGCGCCATTTGGCGTGAGCAAACGCTCTATCGTCAGGTGAGGGTTGCCAAATCCGAGCGCACATCGTCACCGTACCACATGCTCAACGATATTTGCCGATGCTGGCATTCAAAAATAAGTAGACAGCCTCATTCCAACCTAGGAGAAAAACTCACATCAACATCGTCATCCCTCAATGTCACCTACCACGCACGCAAAATCCCTTCGCATGCTTTCAAGATGAGTCTACATAAAAAGGGTAACCCTCGGACATTCGAAGCTGGACAAAGGTGTGCGTTTCCGCTGCTTTTGGTTGGC